TTCGATCCGATTCCCGCGGTCGTCGTCGTTTGAGGGTTTCGGGTTCGTTGAAGGGGAGTATGAGAGGGAGGGAGAGGACTCAGAGGAGCGACGGTGTTGAGTTTTTAATGGGTTTGGGTTTCGGTTTGGGACCTACGAATTTGGAGGAGCGGGGCCCACATATCCCCCGCTGAGTTCATTCACTTCATTGGTCGTTGTTGAGGGGTCACGTCCTTTGGTCTCAGGAAATGGAAAGGTTACTCGGGGCCGCGGATGAGGCCCATTTTACCAACCAGATCATCATCAGGGGTAATTTGAGAGATGTCGAACGCGCGAGCATAAAAATGTAACAAATTGGGGATAGGTCATGGTTTAGAGAACAAAATAGATGGTTGAGAAAGTTACACGTAACCTAACGGCTAATTAGCACTTAAATTACCTTGTTTCTCCTAATTTGCACATGTATATACTCTCATTTGCTTTTGGCAGCACTTATCCATTCCAAAGTTTCTAAGATTTGCACATTAATACATTCTATAATACAAAAAATGAGAATTTTTTCTCGACTTTTCTCACGTGATTGTCACAAATTTTAACCATTAATTTTTGTTGAAGTTAGTGTTGAACATACACCAATTAGCTCACTGCAATTATATTTTCAAATAGGATTTGCTAAAATAGTAATAATAGGCCCTTAAACATCCAATATGTTGTAAATATAAATACAATGAATGTGGACATTACTAGAAGAAGACTCTTCACCTACTTGTGACTTTTAGTATTCTCTTCTACATCTATATAATGTAATCCATGGAAGAAAAAATGTATGGTGAAATGAGGATGAATAAAATGAGATGATCACTTTCTCCTTATCTCTTCTCTTGTCTATTTACATTTACATTTTATGTTTGATTCTTACTTTTGATATGTGATGTATGTAGATACAACAACGAGATTACAATACGTTATCAGCACGAGTGGCTCTAGCCGGTTCGTGATCATCGGTTCGTATAGTAATAGATTTTTAGATGTACATCTTCTGCAAGGTAATAATACATTCGACCTTTGTCTATTTACAAAGTTTCATGTTTTCGTTATCGGTTGATCGATCATGCCTCTATAACAATATGTACTATAAAACCATCGATCACCGCTTTCTCCTTTTTCTTCTTTCCTGATGAATTTTATTATTTTTATCTCATGAATTTCTTCATCTCTTTCCTCTGTTTAAGATCTGTGATTGTTTGTCTTAACAGTCATTGTTTAATTTGATTTGACGGTAGATGTTTGAAAACGGACAAAAATTACCCTTGTTTAGCATGAAGAGTTATTTTTTAGTACTTAATGCATTAGCTACCTCCTGAATAATTGTCATGAAGAGTTGTTCTTTAGTACCTAATGCATTAGTTAGCCAAAACTTTGGACTACATATGCTTTTCATTTGGGTCAGATTAGTCATTTCAGTTGATACTATACATTTGAGGTTTTTCTATAACATTATAATAATTTCCTCTTACACGTGTGATGTTTTTCTTTTACATGTTAATTAAGGGAAAATATTTGAATTCAGTCTCATATCACTGATCTATCTTTTCATTTCTCTTGAGTTTTATTCTTACATATTTTATTTTCAAGTTCTGTGTTGTATGTTACTAAACTTACAACATCGCTAGAAATATGTATCTGGACCTTCTGAATAATTGTCATGTCATGTGTTTTCACCTTCAATCCTATTTTTAAAGCATTGTGATTGATTTCATGTCATTGTATGTGCCCATATCTACACTTCTCTGTTTGTGTGGTTCTCTAGACTCAAAGTTTTGAGTTTTTCATTATGAATATGGGGCTTACACCTACAGCCACTTCATGTCGATTCCTATTATTTTTTTGTTGTTAATTGACATTATTGAGCTATTGTAAATGACTAACTACTGTAGCGTTGTTAGTTTGGAATTTTGGTATGTTGGAACCAATTTTACATTTTGGAGTGTGCATGCAAGAGGTGGCTATTGGTCTATGATTTTTTTTCAAAAGTAATAATTAATAAAGAACCATGTCTACCTTATATATAGATATAATCTAAGGAAAATACACACATGCACACAACTAGTTGTCACCAATAAGTTTCTTTATTCTTTTGATGAATCCATGAGTCTGTATATAAATCATATGATATGTATCTCCTCTGTCATAGACATGTAGTATTGATATAATGTTTTACTATATGGATCATTAATTGTGTATGTTAGCTTTACAAAGAAAGTGACCTTTTACCAAAAGACAAATGATTATATGCAGAAGTTCATACAGAGCATCAATCATGAAAAATTGTCATAATATATCAATTTGATGCTTTTGCTTTAAATATTTTATTTTTCTTGAATTTGCGATGGTCATTGATCGTCCGAGCATTTAAAATTTTGTGTGAATGTTAATATCAAACTAGTTTGCCAGAAGCAAATATTTTGAAAGATAACCTTTAAGAAAATCTTTAGAAAAAGGAGCTTGCTACTAGTTTGCCAGAAGCAAATATTTTGAAAGATAACCTTTAAGAAAATCTTTAGAAAAAGGAGCTTGCTGATTTTGATGATTATGTGTGATATATGATAGTAATTATTACTTATCCTTGGCATCGAACATTCATTTTTTTTCTGGACACACCTGTGATTTTTGCACGATTATATCTCTTGATTCTTTAAGTATCTTTGTCCACAAGACAAACACTTTAAATTTTCTCTCTATCAATTAAGACGTGAAAAATTAATACCTCAGTGAAAAAGTATTCACTTTTCTGGGCAATCCCTGAAGGATCGCTTTGATCTATGAAAACCAATTCCCTCAAACGCAACTAGCAGACTGAATCAGAACTTTTTGGATTTCAAATACATGACTAAATATGATTCAGCTCTGTACCAAATTATCTAGCAGCTAAACTCTATAAGCAAAACTGATCGAAAAATTCGTTTCCCTATTCCACGCAAATAATATTGTACTCCAGCAGCAGTACATGACCAAGAATTGCACTTAGCATTCTGAATTGATTAGTAGTCGCAGAGAAGCACAATCAATTGATGATTAGAAATCACAATGTCAGACTAGTTGGCTTACGAGTTGTGTTTGTAGCACATGCTACAATTCAGAAAACTACTTATACGCGTGGATAAGGGGGAGGCTATGAACATAGTAGGAGATCTTATCCTATAGCCATTTTTGGATTTTAAACCCTCGACTGAATACAATTCAACAAGTAACCTTGTACTCTTACAATAGTACAACTAAAAGCATTATGAACTAATCCTTGTATTAGTAGCTGTTAAAAACACAACTAGCTGTTGTGAGAAACCATAATGCAAGTTTAATTGGTTCAGTCGTAGTGCCTGAAGCACATGTCATAATTCAAATTAATATTCATAAGCTCGGACGAGGGGGAGGTAGTAGATCTTATTGAGGTGGTCAAGGTAAACTATTTGGTTTTTCTATATTTGGATTATATACATTTGTCAGACAATTTTAATTTATCTTGATTTTGCTTTAAACTCTTGTGAACCTATGTGGTTTTTATTCATATGTGTATATTTTAGAATTTGTCTGACCTAAAATACACCATGTTGCGATAAGTTTGAGATTTAGGGACCCAAATTCTTTTACACTCTAGCATGAGCGATTGGGTCATCTTGGACAAAATATGATTTGTCGGATTTCCTTAAATTAAATGGGGCATTCAAACCAAATCCGACCAACTGCATATCACAATTTTTCCCCCTTTATCTAATACGTGGTGAAGAAGCGAAACATTTCCCATCTGCGTGTTCTTTATTTGCAGTCCATATTTCTATATCACCACCATAGCGTACCTCTATGGGACCTTGGTGAAGGTACATATATTATTTATGAAACTCCGTCAATAATTTAGTACCTATGGCCCATGTTAGGGGATCAATTTATAATTTGGTATGCTGACTGCATTTTCATTGAAGATAAATTCTCGACATTAGGGGGGGATTAGTGCCCAAAATACAAAATAATGTCAAGAAATTCCATTGGTGAAAAAGATCTTCAATATTTATATCCACGTACTAGTCAAACTGAACCAGAAGTTCACATGATAATCTGCCAAGAAAAGAGTGACTAAGCCCCATATTCATGTTGAGTATATCATTGATGATTTGGTATGCCAGAAGCATATTGTGCCATAAGCATATAAAACATTTTACTGTAAAAGATAAAAGTCCACGGCAAACTAAATTATATATATATAAAGACAGTCACTCTCATAACCTCCAGAAGAGGTTCATCCTGAAGATGGAATCTCCAGTAAATTGCACGTGCACTAGATAATCACAATACTGGAGATGCGGAACGGCCAAATCCAAACGTTAAGGGAAATGGCGAGGATTTGGTTGACATAAAATAAGAATTAAAGTGGCCACGAATTTGTGAAAAAGGAGAAATATACAATAGAAATATAAAAGTTGTCGACAACATAGTTGCCTCTACAGTTGCTCTTACTATCTCCGAAAATAATATGGATCCAGAACCTAAGTCGGTAGTAGAGTGCTTGAAGCATTCGGACTAGGTGAGATGGAAAGTGGCAATTGAGGCTGAGCTGAACTCGCTAAAGTATTTTGAACTTGTAGTTCATATATCCCTGCAGGATATATATATGGGTCTTCGTAAGAAAAATAAATGAGAATTGTAAGGTGGTGAGATATAAAGCGAGATTCATAGCTCAATGGGTTCACGCAGAGACTCGACATCGATTTAGATGTAAAATATTCTCCTATTAGTGATTGTATTACGTTCCGCAAGTTAATACATATGGCAGAAACTATGAATTTATATATGCAGTATATGTACGTCATGACCACATTTTTATATGAGTCATTAGACGCTAATATTTTTATATGAAAGTCACTGATGGACTTACAATTTCTGAATTAAGAGAAAACAAGAATCGCAACATATATAGCATTAAATTATAAAGGTCGTTATACGACTT